GTAAACACTTTCAACTATCTCTGTAGCTCAGTGAATTTGTCAAAAGATAACTAAATAGTACAATTCAAGTATTTTTTGAAAATTTTGGTGAACAAAAAATTTGCATCTCTTTTAGTGTCCGCTATTACTCTACAAAGAAGCGGCGTACGGAGTTGTGCAAACTTCGACAATCAGCACAGAATGCTGATGAACAACGATGTTTTGTTGATTAAATCTAGAAAACAGTTTATACTGATATGCTACGATATTGGTAGTTCGACAACGAAATTTATATTGATGAAAGCGGTGACAATACAATGACCGTGACAGTGTTACTATGATTAAAAATTGGACAAATACCATGGCTGGCAATAATTTTGATGATGGCAGATGGAATGACACCCGTTAAGGGGCAGATGGGTTAGGCGTGAGGCCAAATATCCATCAGTCATCAATAAATACTTCTAGTTGATGATGGAAAAGTTCACATTTTTTCAAATCTTTGTTTTCATTTTATTTTGTTTTTTTTTTTTTTGCCCTTTGTTATTATTGTTATTATCTGTTTGTTTTGATTGTCGATGTTTTTGTTTGCACATTGAAGAGCTGAAAGAAAAATAAATCTGAATTAGTTTATACTAAAATACTTTTAATCGATTTTAAACTGACGGAAGTTCATTACAACTGCGAGCGTTTACCAGCACTCAGAACTGGTGTCGAGCAGTTATTCTTGAGAATTTCTTCGACAACATCTTCATTTTTTAATGCTTCTCTTGTTCATTGTTTTTATTTGTAACATTAATTTGTTAAAAAAATAGTATTTGTTCAAGTTTTTTTCAGGCTTCTTCTAACAATAAATTTACAGCAACCATGTTACACGCATTTTATAAATTTATTTGCCGTGTTGCCGATAAAGTAAGTTAATTTATTGTTTTAATATAACTGCATACCTCCTATTTACATTCTACAACTTTTTTTTTTTTGTTTCGTTTTTCTAAAACTTTGAAGAGGTTAGCTTTAAAACTCAGACTTATCAAAAAGTTTTGGTTAGTTGATAAAAAGAATAAAAAAAAAGTAATGAAAAGCAATAAGTAATAAATCCATCTGCCGTTCTGTTGATAAAGTAAGTAAATGAAGTAAATTTATTCAAGCAATAAAAAAGATAGAAAGCATATTGGATGTTTCTTTGTTTCTTTTTTTTTTTTTT